GACTTTAAAGCAGGATCCGCCCCTGCCTCGAAATGGAAATACTGAAAATTGCGCTGAAATGAAAGACCAGTTCGGCCAATAAGGCAGTTTTCCATTACAAAAACCGTTCAGTTTGAAGCAAATAAACATCTTGGCGAACCAACCGGCGCCCCTCGATATTCATCTTGTTGGCAGATGTTGCGGCCCGTGCCCTTAATGGTTTAGCGGCACGTGCCACCAGCTGGACCTTTTTCGCCTTAAGGAGTCGAATTTTTGGCCCCTTTCCAACATTCCCGGCCACAGCCCCTATTTCCCGTACCGTACTTGATGCTAGCAAAACCAAAGTAGCCTAGTCTCCTCCAATGAATGATTCAATCGGATGTGGTTTGGTTGTTTCCGTTCGGAACGGAATCGAATTGCTAATTCGACTGGTTCTCCAGCAGCGGCCGGTTCAAACAAAGCCCGGCGTTTCCATTAAAAGGGGTCCTTGTCCGTTACGCGGGAAGAATTTCAATAAAGCCCTCACTCGCATTACCTTTTATGAAAAGAGTCACCATCACGTGCCGTAACAGCAGTGGCGTAATCTTTGGCAAACTGCGCCCCTTCACGTGTGTGCGTGAAAAAATCCAAACCGGCACGCCTATGGCATGTACCCCCAATAAACACACCCATATGACGCGGGGCAAATGCAGCTGCACCGAGGCCCCCCCAACTTTCCGTTACACTGTCCTGGCCACCAGTCAGACCCGACCTAGACTTTGGTGTTTGGAACGGCCGTTGATTTGGACGGTTTTTCGGATAATTTCGCGTTGTGTTTACTTCGGGGCGCTGATAAGAAAACGCGAAGGGTTTACTGAAAGAGCTCATTGTTGTGATGGTGTGGCTGGATGTGGACTTAGACAAGGACACGGTGGAACTGCTGGCTAGCTGAGCTTAGAACCGCTATGGAGGCCAAGCCGCACTACTACTCAAACCCGGCGTTTTGCCAGCAAAGTGAATTCTTCACTCAAAGGGCGTTGAGTCCGCAAAGGAGCCTCCGGCAGTCGCCCGTTGGGGCCCAAACCAGCCATGCACATTTGGACGAACCGCCGGATCGGATCGAAGAGCAGGAGTTCTACGAGGAAGTGATCGTGGATGATCAGGGCTTCATCAAGGGCAAGAAAGTGGTGGTGGTGGCGCAGAACAATGAGGGCCAAAAGTACATTCAAGCGCCGCAGAGTGACCGCCACAACGTCCGGTATGGAAGCATGCAGCATATCCAGCATTGCGCCCCAAAGAGCGTCCCCTTGCGACAGCCGCGCTACGAGTACATTCCCATGCAGGAGCAGGACGCCAGGCCGAAGGCCTCATCCAAGCAGTTGTTCCAGGAGCGTGTGGAAATTGCCCCCGGGGTGATCCACAGGTGAGTTAAACCGTTACCAACGAAATAAAGAAGGCCCACTGGCTGAATTGTGACGTCACTTAAAGTAGCCCGACCAGGCATAACGCGTAGCGATATATGATGG